TTAAAATTAGAAGTGCCTAGTAAACATATCCTATCACCCCTTTCAGCCGGCTGCCCCGCATACCATCTAGAAATGTACAAGCATTTTTGCGTGCCTTCATGATTTCGCCTCCATATTGAATTCAGCTGCGAGGTATTACAAAATGTTGTGTTCAAATGTAATTTCAACGCGTCCGCACTGCTGGATACTGCCAGACACACCTTCGCCAAGGTAGGAAACCGCTAAAACATTTTCTTAGGATTACAAAAAAGTGATACGACTACCGTAGAACGTTGAAATATGGCCAAAGTAACCAACTTTGTTTCAGCAAGTTCAATCGCAACTCCACCACATTGCGCTCATGCTGTTAGGCATTGTCGGCCGCTGTTCATTTCAAATCGTTGTATGCAAGCTCTTCCGGCTTCTTTTGGATTGGAATTTACATCACGTTTAGGTTCCATGTACAGGCCGACGTATAGTCTCTATTTTTATGAAATTAAAATGATAAATGCGTGCGGTAACGCGACGAAGATCGGAGCAGCATTGCTAAATTAAAATGCCTCTAACTATACAGTTATGTAAGCACACGTACACGGTACTATCCCGTAGATTTACATAGACAGTTAAAATCACGATCACTAGTTCTATCGGAAGGCAATTGGACTACGAGAAAAATTGACGTTAACCAGCGATGAACGGTGTTAGATGTAGCTCTAGAACTATAGTGCTTCGCTCTGCCAAGGCCCCTGTGGCAGAACGAATGGCGATAGTTCTAGAGCTATTTAACCACACTGCCTCCTCCTTTTCTCCCTCCTTCTCCTGTTACTCTTTCTTCGTTTTCCTTCTCCTGATATACCTTAGATAGATAAATGGGTGAATACCGGGGATGGATGGATGGATTGATTGATTGATTGATGGATGGATGGATGGATGGATGGATGGATGGATGGATGGATGGATGGATGGATGGATGGATGGATGGATGGATGGATGGATGGATGGATGGATGGATGGATGGATGGATAGATGGATGGATCGATCGATCGATCGATGGACCGACGGCTGAATTGATGAGTGGACAGGTAGGCAACTATTAAAATAAATCGGCGATCGTAATTCCTCCCATATGTTCCGGACAACTGAATCGACAAGCATTTGAATTAGCTAGCGCTTACCTTGAGCGAACGGCCCACCAGTCTAGGATCAGCTGCTGCAGAGTCAACGTGTATTGGTTGAATCTGAGCCACGTGTCAGTGCCGTAACCAATTAGCGTCATGTATCCCTGCACTTCACGTGGACCGTAGAAATCCGAAAACACACCTGGACATACAAGAGCCAAATCTATAACCAGAACTTTCTAACGGGAATCTTTTACTGAATTCCCCATTCCAAATAAATAATTATATATATAGCTACATTTCCTTCTATATGCTTTATGTCATAATTGTATGGGGCTTTATGAATCCCATCGGGCAAAAAAGCAATAAAATTCATAAATGAGTAAAAGGAGTTCAATCTCGCCTACCTCGCCTGATGATTGGTTGCGTCGGAACACTCACCTGCCGCGTAAAACTGCAATCTCTCCATGTTCAATCCCACCGCTAGTGGGCCTCCCCGTAGCAGCTGGTAGAGGTTGATTTCTTGATCGGAGGTCATGAAATGTCCGTTTTCTCCATCATCAGCTTGCAGCTCTATCTCTGTCCCCGCTACGTTCACGTTACACTGCTGGGCCTGTGCGAATCAATCTTAATTAAGATCCTTATGGTGACGCACCGATCTATTGATCAAATGATTGACGAACATTTCTTTATTAATCATCAAGACGATACTCAACACAACACGTTAGCCATTCGAGTCACATCATTGCCTTTTTTTATAGAAATTTGAGCTGCTGTAAGTATATAGAATGGCGGAAGGCACCATTGATGATGTGGAGACGGGTGATCGATGTTTGCGTGCGTGCGCACGTCCGCTCGTGCGCGCACGCGTGTGGTGTATTTTCGTGTGTATGTGTGTGTGTGTGTGTGTGTGTGTGTGTGTGTGTGTGTGTGTGTGTGTGTGTGTGTGTGTGTGTGTGTGTGTGTGTGTGTGTGTGTGTGTGTGTTGTGTGTGTGTG